CAACGAATTTGGGGACTTCCCATCATGTGCCCTCATTTGAGGACTTGCCTCTCCCCCCCCCTAACCTAATATCTTCCCATACTTTCATGGAGCAAAAACAACGTGAACTGAACATTGTGCCGATTCCTCCCTACTGGACCTCCTGCATCGCACGCGCCATCTGCCGGAAGCAGGCGTGACAGGCGCCGGGCGCCCGCAGGAGCACCTTCGGCCCCCGCGACGCTTCGAAGACGGCCTCGTGCTGCCAAGGCGGAATGATCTCGTCCTCGGGCACGCGCTGACATACCGTCGACCCGTACCATAGGGATGCGCGATAAGGATGCAATGGCCTTGGACGCCTCTTTCGAAGCTTTTCGAGCGGGCCGCGGCGGACGAAAGTGGCGAAGGATGGGCCGAGGAGTTCAGGATGCAAGGGTGATTACCCCTGGGAAGGTTGCCCATCCTTACTATGCGGGTTGACTGTAGATTCGGGATCCGCGGATCTAGCGCATGTGACTTATTCAGCGTTTCGACATTGGGCGGAAGGGGGAGGAGGAGGGGGGGTCTGGCTCCGGACCTCTGCTCAGTGCGACTGTTCGGAACTGTGCGTCCTCTGGGGGAGCCTGCACCTGCTCGAAACAGGCGCCAAGAAACGGCCAAGATGTACTCCATGGCGGGGGGAGGGGGGAGTGCGATGGCCCGCACCGGTCGGAAAAACAAGGAAACCAAAACAGAAAAACTATCACCATGGGCGCCAGATCCATGGATCGCCAGACCCGCAGATTGGGGAAGGCCACAACCCCGGAAGCATGAGGCCGACGCCGCCCGACCTGGCGACCTGGCGCTCGTCGCGGGGGTAATCAGGGGGGCGGGGAGGCTTCTCAGAAAGACGCTGCCTCTTAGAAGTCGCGGGCCTCACATCTACAGACGCGGCGCGCCGCTTCTGAGAAGCAGGGGTGCGTCTGAGAAGCCCTCCCCACTCCCCCTCACACCCCCCTCTGCGCGTGGCCGAGCCCCCTCGCTCCTCCCGCGGGCTCACGACGGCCACCGGGATCTCCCCCGGCAGCGAGGCGGCGGCCCCCTCCGAGTCCCAGGGGTCCAGGCCCATGCACCAGAGCCACGGGGACACCGCCGCCAGCCCGAGCGCCCCGGCGGCGCCGAGGATCGTCGAGCGCGTCACCGCCGCCATGGACGAGAAGGGCGCGAGCAGCAGCAGGCCAGCGACGTGCTCCGGGCTCGCTG